AACTTTTCTTAAATTATCTCAAAGTGTTTCAATATACTATCTCTTTCTATTAATACTCATGGTTTGAAAGGAGCCATATTTGGAAAGGAAACAGATCAGATACTCCCCTGCCAACCCACCCTCCTCCCAAAAAAGACCCCACCTCCTCTCCCAATGTTCATAGCAGGTGTCTGCCTTAATATTTACTATGTCTTTCCGTTAGCACCAACACCTGTTCTTTATTCCATGTAGTAGCTCACAGTTAAAATAATAAATAATGGCCTTCCCTAGGCAAAAACCAACCCAAGAGAATCCAGCAAGGTACCTGTCTCTTGGAGGGCACTCCATAAATCGCTGAATGAATGAATGGCCCTGCCCAGCTCACCCTTTTTGATCTACTGTTGCTTGGCAGGAACCTAACGTTGAATTTGGACAGAAAACCACCAACTGAGATAGGTTATCTTCTTTCTTTCTTTCTTTCTTTTTTTTTAGAGGTTTTTGCTATAGGGCAAGTGCAAGTACGCTTGCCAGAAAGACAGAGACAGAGAGACAGAAAGCGAGAAATCCCCCCCCCCCAGGGGGGATGGCCACACCACAATCCCTTCTCCTCCATTCTTCTCTTAGGATCTTGGGCATGCACGCACACGCACCCAGCATGAGTTTTAAGCCACTGGGTCCGGGACTCAAACCGCGGTAGACTACATGGGAGTCCAGCGACATAGCCATTACACCAACTGCTGGTCCCTGAGACAGGTTATCTTTCATTACTACACACCCATTTTACTATTTACAGGGCAGGAAATGAAAAGAACTCAACCAGAGAAAACCAGAAGGTTCTTCCTCAAGCCTGAGAAATGCCTTTTAGCACAGGCAATAGCAGACAAGGATTTCTGCAAAGAATGAAAATGTGATCACAATGAACCAATGCCAACATAGACTTAAAAAAAAAAAAAAAGAGGCCCACGGGACTAGGCCTAAAATGATCAAAGAGTCTTGCAGGGTTGTTGAAGAAATGATGACCACTCGCCCTCCTATAGCTTCACACTTGTGACAGTACTGGTTCCCTAAGAGTGGAAAAAGGAGGAAAAGTGTGATGTGGAATGAAGACATTCAAACCCTAAGTACACGAAATCCAGCATTACCTGAACACTCAGTGCAGACATGGGTTTATGTACTTATGTGTTTGAGGTGAGAGTTGGATTTAGGTCTATTTCAAAATGTACTGCCACGAATGTGAAGCACAGAGCAATGACAGCAGAGACTTAAATGACTGAAGTTTAAACTGTAGCTGTCACTTCCTTTACAAAATTGGCTTTGCATGATAGGAAATCAAGGAGGAGGCCTATAGCCCAAATAGTACATCCTGAGGTTGCCTGATTTTGCAATAAAAGAGATGTCTATTTTATTTTGATGTCATATGCATGGAAATGTGATCATAAGACCTTTTTTAAGCATGAGATACTAACCCCAGTTAAAAAGGACTTGCTGTTTTAGGGAAAAGACAGGAAAGCTAAACCGTAAGCACCAACCACAAGCTTATAACAAGCTTCCCAGTTAAGACAGGCTTAGAGTGACCTGGTATAGTATGTAGTTGAAAATAATCTTGGTTCTGCCATGCCACGGTGTTTAAAATGAATTTTTTCACAATGAAATACCATGGAAAATCGGTGTCTGAGGCATCATTACATACAAGTGGTTAACAAGTTAAAAGAACGCCAGGAAAGACTCCCAGGATCTGCCTCCTTCAGCGTTTCCTCAAGTATGCCATCCCTGGGTTCCCTGATCACAAACCAAAGCCATTCCGTTGTATTTCCAAAGAGAACTGGCTCCTTCAGACATGGCTCTTATCAGCACCGCAATTTGAGAGGAAACCTTTTTTGAAGTCTTCACCCCCATTTACCGATGTGTTTGCCCTTCCTGTCTGACATGCAAATACACGACACAGCCTCCATTCTTTCCATACAACCTAATTCAAGGCAACATATGTTCAATCCACCCAGAATCCTGTGAGCATTCAATCCGCGTACACACCATGACCCCACCACATGCACTGAGCGAGCTCCAGTATAGTTCTCTGCGTGCAGCCCAGACGAGCCCAACGTGCATGCACATCTCTCCCCGTTCCTCGAGTCACCGGGCACTGGCCATGGAACCTGCTCCCTTTGCAAGAAAAGGGACTGTGAAAATGCCCACGAGGATAACTGGCCACGATGCAGCAGCGAGCTAGCCTGGGACCACTGCAGGCGACGCTGGGCGCAGGCTCGCCCACCGAGCTGAAGGAGGCTGCAGCGCCGGGGCTGGCAGCCCTGTATCTCCCCGCAGCCCAAACCCCTCGCCCCCTCCCTCATTTTACCTAATAGCGCTCCAACCCCATATTGAGAGGGCCTGCTGTGGATCTTGCGGAGGTACAAAATGGTGGATGGGAGCTAATTTTTTTCCTGCTTTCCCCATAACTTATCGCATCCATCACCGCCCGTGCTCTCGTCCCCGCACGCCCGCGGCCCGGGGCCTGGGGCCGAGACGCCGTTACCAACCTGATGTCATGTAGCCCCGCGAAGCCTGGGGCGCGAAGGCCGCGGGGAAGCGCTTGTGCAGGCGGTAGTCCTTCTCGCTGCGGGACCTCATGCGGTCCGAGGCCCGGTCCGAGAAATCCGAGCTAGGCCAGGCTCGCCGCAAGGTTGTGCTCCGGGTCTTCTTCATGGTGGGGAGGGCGACCCGCTGCCCCGCTCCTCGGGGCCTCAGCGCCGGGGCGCAGCGCGCTGCTTCATCCGTCTACGGCGGGCACGACCCGGGCGGACTCTGCGCACATTTTCCCAGCCCCTCCTCGTCGGCGTCTACACCGCCCGCGGCGGGTCCGGCCCTCCCCCCCCCCCCCCCCACCCCCCCGGCGCAGGCTCCGAATTTACA